AAATCATAATGTGAACACGAACGACGATTAAAATTAAATTTTTATAATTATTGATATATTTTGACCATGTAATATATATATATATAGGGTGTCCCGAATTTAAATTCGGCTAAACTCGGGAGCATGTAGGAGATCAATGAACTAATTAATTAAATAAATTAACTTTAAGTTACATCTCACCGATTTGAGTGTCTTTTAGATATGTTGTAGGGGAGTGTTCTGTGAGTGAATTTCCCGCAAGAATTAAAAGTTGGGGATGGCATTGGTTTAAGAGGAGATATAGTACATTAAAGTAATTTGTAAATGATGGCATTAATGATATAAGAGATATATGAAGGTAATTATACATACACTTAAAAATCAATAAAATTAAGCTTATTTGACGCGTTTTTACATGAAATGAAAGAATCTGGCAGAAAAAAGAATAAGCATCGCTATGCCCTGTGAATCGAGAGCGTTAAATTTGACTACTATTGAGGTTAGAAAATTTGTTACAGCCGTGAAATACTGCAATGCAAGCGTTGTGGTCATAAATTCGCTATTTTAAAATAAATTCTCTGCTTTAAAAATAAATTCTACTTTAAAAACAATTACTTTATAAATTCATTAGTTTAAAAAGACGAATTTACTGCTTTACAAATTATTTTCTTATATTATTTTTGTGTTTTGAAAGCAGTAAATTTGGTAAATGTTAAGAAAACCTCGGTCCACTCAAATTTTGATAAAAATATACTTAATCGATACATTTTCTTATGAAAATGAAGAATCTACAAGAAAAAATGTCGCTCTGTCCTGCGAACCGAGATATTTTAAGTTAAAGTTGACTATGCAGATTAGGAAATCTGGAATTCGGAATGTGAGATTTCCAAATGAGTTTTTACTCTAAAAAGACTGTTTTCACATTCCAAGTCTTCATGGGTTAGAAATATTCCAAGCGGACACTAGATCTCAGCTGTCTAAGTGATTAGGTTCCAAGAGGGTAAGATATATTATTTTTTTTGCGTAGCCCCAAACGTTACTGTTTACGTATCCCACTGTCCACATTAGAACTCCGATAATTTATTTTGTTGCGTGACCGTGACAGACTTATAAATAGACTGCTAACTTTGCCTCCATGTTTGAAGATAGTGCCATATTTGAATTTTCTCACTCACATAAATTACATGGATAAATTCACATGAAAACTAAACAAGGACAATTTGAAAATCTCAGATTTATTTCTTTCTATCACATTGAGTCAGTTTAATTATATTAGGTGTAGTAAAAAGAAATCCATTATTTTTGCATGAAATTGAATAGAAAAATAATGGATTTCTTTTTACTAATATAAAAGTGCCTTTCATGCGCAGTACGTTGTGATAGCAAAAACGTGATGCAATTTTCATAATTGCTTTCGCTGCATTTGCAGTGCATGAAAAGGAATAACATATATATTAAAGTTTAACTTCAAATATGTCTTTTATTTGCTCGAAAATTAATATGAAAAACTTAAAAAGCTAAAAATTTGTGATTACATGGCAATTGTTACAATTTGGACAACTATTTCTTAACTCATTTCAGGTAATTATTTAGAATTTAGAATATCTCCATCACTTCAAATCTTAATAAAAATGTGCTTGTATGTACTTATTATAAATATACTCAATTTTCACATTTTTTGCAAATATTGACTTTCTCGGCTTCGAATTCTTTGCTTGTTGTTCGTTCGTTCGGATGAACTTCAATGAGATGTAACAAAATGTATTTTGCGTCAAAGTGTCTCATGTAAAATTTTTAACTAATAATTACGAATTACTGCTGCAGCATGCTGCGTATGAAAAATCAGCTTTAGTCTGTGGTTTTAAAGTAGTGAAATTATGTTCTAAAGCAGAGAGTTTGTTTTAAAGTCGTGAATTTGTTTAGAGCAAAGAACTTGTTTTAAAGTAGCGAATTTGTGACTGCATCGCAGTCACGTATTTCGTGGCTGTAAGATTTCCTAACTTCAATGCTCGTTAATTTTAATGTTTAATATCTCTGTTCGTAGGGCAGAGCAACGCTTTTTTCTTGTAGAATTTTTATTTTTACACGAAAACGCTTCGATTGACTCTATTTACATCAAAATTTGAGGTGACCGAGCTATTGTAAATCTTTACCTTTTTCAGTTAATATAAGTGTCAAAATGCACGTGCAGAGAAAGGTAGCCCCAAGATATTTTGTCTCGCACCGTTCTATCCAACTCAGCATATACTATAGAAAAGTATATGAATATTGAATCTATCTAATATGTTAATAAGTAAGTGTTAAGAAGAGCCCGCTTATCTCAAATTTTAATAAAAATACACAAAATCGATATGTTTTCGCGTAAAAATAAAGATTTGATAAGAAAAAAGTATCGCTCTGCTCTACGAACAGAGATATTAAGCATTAAAATTAACGAGCATTGAAGTTAGGAAATCTTATGCATGGTCTACAATGGGCAGTAGTGGATTAAGGAATAGGTATAGAAATTGACCAATTATAGTTGAATGTGAGAAAAATAATCAACTATGATTGATCGATTTCTACGCCTACTCTTTAACTATTACTGCCCATGTACCATGCATTATAGTCATGAAATATTCGCTCTACGAACTAAGATATTAAAGGCCACAGCACAGACTTTTATTAATGCATAGTGCATATATATATAACAGAATCAACCAATTAAAATGTTTCTTTTCCGTGAAGTGGAAGAAAAAGAAGGATTCTGGTTGGTTGAATCGCTTATGCACTACGTGTTTTGCATTAAATAAAAGTGTTGACTTTATCCTTAAAGTCGACCACTATTCGGATTAGGAAACTGCCATAATAGCGATTCACTATGCTTTAAAAATATAAATTCTTTACTAAAGTAGTGAATTTATATTTCAAATGCAATGAATTCATGTTTTTAAAGCAGTGAACTATTGCTGTGACAGATTTCCTAATCCGATGATCGTCAACTTTAAGGATTAAGATCTCAGTTCACGGAGCAGAGGACTTTTTTTTGTCACATCTTTAGTTCACTGAAAATGCATCAATTCAATATATTTTTAGCAAAATTTGAAGTGCGGTTCTTTTTAACATTTACCTTTATCACTAATCTTACTATAACCTATCAATTAAGTGGAATCAAAATAGCAGATGAGAATATCTAGTGCCTTAATTCTAATACAATCTTCGTGCAAGAACATAAAACAAATCTAGTAACACTTCAACACTGGAGACCCTCTAATCTAGCCACCTGGAATGGCTGCTACTTTTCATTGAAATTATGCGAGAGAGAAAAATCGTATTATTTCACTTCATCTAATAATATAGTGGCGTTATAAGTTGCAACTTTATAAGGACGCTCTATAAGCTTCATATATATAATTCTTGATGAATTCTAGTACATTTAGGCAACTAGTTAGCTAGTTAGATTAAAATTTAAAAAACATAAAAATTTAGTAATGTCTAACCATAAATATTATGACAACAATTCTATGGTCATGCAACATGCATTTAAAGTAAAATTATAATGTATTTTCGTTATATTTAAATGGAATGAATGAAAAATGTCGGACCAATCACAAACCGGCGAGAAGATAGTCAGATTTCGATTAGAAGGTCTCATTTACATTATTGCGGGAGCGATGTACTTGCATACAGTTCAATCACAGTATAAGGATATACAATAGGGACAAGACTCCATTTTCTATTCAGCCACACATATTTGTTTGCGCATCATAAGTGATCATGTTTTTGATGGCATCAATTTCGATCAAAGCAGAGAACCCATAGTTTCTCTCTTATTACATTCATGCCATAACATATCATTGCGCTTGTCTAATTATAATAGTATTAGGCATCATCACTTGTGTTCAACAAAAAAAGGGAAAAAAAATCTTAATTTAAAAAAAAATTTTTCACCAAATCGATGATCAATCGTGTACATCCGCATAGTTACGTTGCTTTATAATATTAATTGCTGTAATCAGCTATGCACGAGACATTACTGTGTCTCCTGAATAAATTAAATTAGCCAATTAGCGATGTGAGCATTTGATGTACACTCCATTATTGCACTATTATACTAATGGAGTCCTAGATTTATAAGAGAAGCGCGATTGGTGTTAAGTCTGATTGGTCATTGCAATCACGTGATTTGGCAGCCAATTTTGATTTCTGTGTATTAAAAATGTTGCTTAATGGGTGATTGGTGAATATAATAATAATTCGTCTTGCAAACGATGCCATTTTTTATACTTTTTCTAGTACTTTTTAGTACTTTTGCGATACTGACATAAGTCGGTCGCGCTTTTCCCATAAATCTAAGGTAAATTTAAGGTAAATCCAAAGTCAATCATGAAACTTTTTTTCTAGGACGAAGAGTGAAAAGTGAAAATTTTCTCCAACTTCAATGGTTAAAATTTTCGTTTTTCACTTTCTATCCTAGAGATAAAGATATTTCATGATAGATACCTAGGACTGTATGCTACTAATGTTTAGAAATCCTCTAATAAAAGTTGCGACATGAGAAAATTACATTTTAATTGGCCCGGCATGTTTTAATAATTCCCTATATTTGAATACCTACATTCGTGCTACTCTTAAATTTCAACAATTAAAATTAATTATTTTAAAGGCATTAACAAATAGATTTCTTACATTACATGTCGAAATAACGCATGCGAGAAAAGAAAATTGAACGCCTAGCTGTTGCAGGCGTTCAATTTTTCACATCATTTCCCTAACATCTTTCGTTAACATAATAAATATTTTCGCATAAAACATGGTTGCATACCTTAACCATTTTTAATAATTATCCGTCTATTGAGTATGTTATGTACGCATCACTTAAAAAGAAGCCCAGTAATTTTTGAAACATTTCAGCAACAGAGTAGCAATGTTATGACGTTGCTACAACGTTGCTAAAATATTTCTTGCTTATTAGAGGAGACTAAACCAGAGAGAAACCTGAAAGAAGACATGACGAAAAGAGGAAATAAATCGCTGAAATCATTGAAATTTCTATTAGTCTCTATCTTTATCTTAATTTGATAAATTTTAGTTATTTTAGAGATCTTTCAACTAGCTATTTCCACCAGGAGCACCGCAAAAAGGTGGATATTGTTGTATAGTTAACATCCATTTCTTCACAGAAAGCAGTAATGCGCGGCAGCATTTTGCGGTTATAGGTTTTGGATCGTTATATTCTCTCTCAGGTTTCTCTCTGGTACTATTCATTGACTCAGGCCTGCCAACTATGAAGAAATAAATGATGTTGCTATGACTGATCTCTATGCATTTTTGTCAGATCTTGCTATGTGTCCTTTTCTCTCTTCGTTTCGATGTGTAGAGCAACATCACTGTCAAGCGAGTGTCAAACATGATTTCAAGTTTATTAGAGTACGTATTACGAAATGGATTCCTATTGGAATTATCCAATTATTTCTTTGATTTCTATTGTGTTTTCTAAGAAAAACGGAATAATTTCGTAGGTGCCCTGAGGATTCCGTCGAGCTATACGTTGGTATAAGTATTATTGATACAAATTGTACACTGGTCGACAGAAATGCCTTTACATATTCAAGAATGGATGCGTTTCGATTGTGTTCCGAAACGCATCCATTTTTGTGTAAAAGCATTTCTGCTGGTCAGTGTATTTATTTATTTATTTATATTTATGTATTGATTTCATTTATTCAGAAAAAAATGTTTTATATATAATTATACATATTGACGTCACAATATAATTGTCACAATATAAAATATGTCCATAAATATATAATTATAGAAAATTATAGAAAATTATATGAATCTTACAATGTTTTATTCATATTTATATTTAATTCACATATTTTAAAGAATTCCAAATTAAAAAATTTCTCTATTATAAATGTTAGAAAATATCTCAAAAATTTTTTATACGAATCTTACAATATTTTAGAATTCATATTAATATAGGGTGTCTCAGAAATAAAGTCAGAGTCGCATTGGAGACGTAGAGTGGGTCAAGGGCAACAAAAAAGATATTTTAAGATATTCGCTGTAGTTTTTGAATTAAAAAAGAAAATATTTAAGCCAATGTGCGGTGAAGTCGCGCCACACGAACTTGTAGAACTACAACAAATATTTCAAAATGATATCAGACTTTTTTATTCCCCTTGACTCACTATATGAAGAATTCTATAAAAAAACGTATAAATATTTTGAATATATGTTTCTGAAATGTATTTCAATTATAGCTCCTATTCACTTCAACGAACGCGTTAAAGTGAGTAGGAACTGTGACAGGAACATGCGAAGTAACAAACAAACGTTGTACTACGACTGCGTTCCGTTTCACGCATGATACGCATGATGCATCATTTATTCTTGTTTAACATTCGGTGAATAACAAGGATAAATAATACAGCATGCACATCATGCGTGAAACGGAACGCAGCCTAAGTAATACATGAAAAAGAAATCAAACCTAAATGATGTGCGTGCAACAACTAAGGACTAGGATTACGAACTGGGACTACGAACTGTCACCGAACAAGCGAGAGAACAGAGTATTATAGACTACATTTACATGGCTCCCTTAATCGGGTTTAATAACATCAATAGTTATGAAATTGATCAATCACAGTCGTTCCATTCTTCTAAGAAACTATTGATTAATTTTATAATTACGGATAATTTAAAACGCGATTAAGCATGTCGTGTAACAGAAGTCAGAGAGAAAGACGCTTGCAAACTGAGCATATCTAAAGTCCTATATTTATAAAAAAAAGCGCGATCGACTTATATTAGTATCGCAAAAGTACTAAAAAGTACTAGAAATACTAAAAATGATGTTTGCAAGACACTATGAAATACACCAATCATTAAGCAGCCATTTTTAATACACAGAAATAAGTTCATCATTGGCTGCTAATCACGTAATTGTAATGACTAATCAGAACTAGAGAGCTTCATAGAGAGAGAGTGGTAAACTGTACCACGTGATCCGTCTCCTCTGATTGGGTATGGGCACCAAAGCTCATAGGCATGGAAGAAATTGGAGAAATCTGGTCATCTGACTCCCATCCTGATTGGACATGAGCATTCACTCCTATACTGTAAATTCTTACAAAAAAAATTTTTGAGATCTTCCTAAAAAAATTTATCACATATATTTCGGACAGGAACATACAAGATCGTATAATAATATATTGCGTATGATATGTGTAGGTAAATCAAGAATCTTGTACCCATTTTATATAAATCCTATAAACATGTTACATGATTCTTACACACATGTTACATGAATCTTGCACGCAGGTTATATGAATTTTGTGCACATGTAACATCAATCTTGCAAGAATATAATTAGGAGTGTCATTATGAAAATATTACAAGAATGCTATTGCAATTTTGTGTGCTTTATTGCTCGTATACTAGTAAATAAAATGGAATGGGACAAGCAAGGATCGTTGAATAGGATTTAAAAGAATTCATCTTGGCTAAAAATTAATTCTTTTTATATAAATTGTATAACGGTTTTTCAAATAAATTTAATTTGGGAAAGGAGCATAAAAAGTCTACGCCAGTTATTATAGTGAAATTATAATTTATCAATTCATTAAGACAATGATAATATACGTTACTTTTTATTCAATCATCTTCAGTATTCTGACAAATTAAAAAAATTTTTTTTAATTCTTTTTCATTTCATATATTCAATCCAATTTCTGTTCATTCAATAATTCCATTTCATTTACTGGGATGAGGCTTTATCTTTACTGGGATGAGTCTTTACTGGGATACCTTTATTACTTTGAAGCGATCGTGTAAAGAAATTATTTCTTATCTTATTAGTAGAGTATCTTATTATAAAGCAATTAAAATCTTTTTATTGTTTAATATAAATCATCATGTACATTCATGCCAGATTTCTGCACCAAAGAAAGATTATTGAAAGATAAATTATTATTTCGTAACTATTGAGTACTATAGAGTGAGTACAAAAATTCGTATCTGATTTATTATTTAAAATTCAAACAGCTATTTTTGTTAAAATTAAAATAAAATCTAAATCTTACTTTATCTGATGAGAATTTGAATTTGTTTTGTAAAATTATAATGATTTTCATGAAGTTATGAGCAATCAAAATCAATTTTTTTTATTTTTATTGTCTTATTCTTTTTATTTAATTCGCAATAATTTAGTAACAAATAATCGTGGAGACATTTTTATAAATGATTTTATAGAGGAAACTTTAAGCTTTTATACCAGAAATTCAAAAATTTTTGCAAATTTTTTTTAAGTATATAACAGATCAACAAAGTGAAAAAATTTCCCGTTTTGTTGCAATTTACGTAACGTCCCATTCTCTCCCTGTAAGGCTCTCTAAGAGCTTATAACATCAGTCACGCTTTTCTTATAAATCTAAGACACTATGTCAATCCATAATGGAAAGATTATATGGTAAGCTCCCATATCTGATATTCCTTTAATGTCCGTATCGATCGATGATTACGATTGACGATTGCTTGGTTCTATTTTCTATTTCAGCCAATTAATTAATAAACTCACTACATTGGTTGAAGTAATCGGACAACCGTCAGTCATAATTGTCAATCCGTAATTTGATAAGGGCATAAGGTTAAAATTTCATGGAGCAGAAATTTATAGCAGAACAGAACAGCGAGACCAATCATAATTGCAGAAAAGAAAGCAGAATAACGATTACAGAATTGTGACTACAAGTCGCGCTGTTCCGTTCGATCCGCAGTAAATTTCCGTCTCATGAAGCCAGCCTAAGACTTCTACACTACTACTAATTACGAATACTACTCATATCAGCAGTGATACTACTATGTTTCACTAGTTACACTATTGAATGTCAGTAGTTGTCACTACTGCGCACTATTATGCATCAGGAGTTTTTTTTTCGTAAGGGTAGTTACTTTTAAAAAGTAACTTTCCATTCTCTACCTATAATCGATGTAAGTAACTTTGAATTCGAATTTCAGTGATTTTCATTGAATGTTACACGAAGATTTCTTAGGCCCGTGGGGCCTGTTAATTATAATTGTGATAGGAGTAGGAATCATCTTGATCGCGTTACTCCTGTTCGTCTGTTTTCTCATGCCCGGTTGTATCGGCTATGAATACTTCAGAAAACAACGTAAGTAATCATCAAATATTCCATTTAATTCTTTTTATGTTAAATATATTTAATTATTCTTATTCTCTACAATTCTCTGAAATATTTTAGATCAATAAACAATGTTTAAGAATAAAATTAACATCATTAAATGTGTGCCACCAAAATGATAATTGTAAAGTTGTTTCCAGTGTAAAATACTTGACATGTACAATCGCATCTAGAGAGGGAGTGGTTCACTTACACACTGTTGCAATTGCCTATTACCAGCAACTTTTGCATAGAGAGTTTTTATATATCTTTTGATTCTGGTGCTATGATTGGCTTGTGCGCAATTGGCTTGTGTGAAATTGATATACACCTATCTAGGTCGGTATTCATAATCTGTTCTTATATCAATATCATTTTAAGTAATGTCTTAAGATGCTAATACGGCTTTCTGGTTGGTTCGTGACATCTTAAGACGGTCTTGAAATTAGAATCGACTATGAATACCGCTCTTAGAGAATTTCTATATAGAAATCGGTTAATGCTGACTATTTCGTGATTGGCTCTGTATTGTTATAAAAGTGAATTTGAGAAAAGCAATACCACACCGACGAGAAATTATTAAAGTCAAACTTGGGTAAATTTTCGGTAGTATAAAAAGGGTCCCAAAGGCTCGAAAATAATTAAAAAATGCTGACATTATCGATAATTGCTAATAATAGAAAAAAATATAAATTTGCTAATATTAACATAAATATTTGGCTAATGCATTATTAAAATTATGATTTTTTATTACATAAATAAATATGTAATAAATATGTAATAAATATCTATTACATAAATAAATATATATTACATAAATGCTCCATAAATAAATATGTATATTTATAAAGCTATGATATCCTATATATTGCCGAAAAGTTATAATTTTTTTCTCTGCAGTTATTATCTTTTGATAATCAAACTTTAACAATACACTGAAATCATAATTTAAAAAATCGAGTATTATTAAGTTTTAAATACATATACATCAATAAATACGTCTATTAAACTAATAAATCATAAAATATTATTAGTTTTTTTTTACTCTTAATCACTTTAATATTAATAAGGACGCGAACCCCCGTAGGGATATTGATCTTTAATAGTATCTCGTCGGTGCCATGCATTGCGATTGAAGCATATACAAAAACGTAAGGCAATAACACATAAGCAGTAAGGAAATCTTAACATTGGATTCGCTGATCTTACAATCTTCACCGTGATTCGTCAATTTGCTTACTGATAACACGCATGTTCTTTTTAGCTGAACTTTTGCACTAATTCATCTTTCTTCCTTTTCTCTTTAGGAGAAAAAAAGAGCACAAAAGATGAACTGTAAAAGTTAAAAAGAACAGGCCTTTTGTCTTACGGCCTTACATTTTTATATTGCCATTGGCTTGATCGGAATGATATAATAGCATTTCATGGATATTATTTTCAATTGTATATACTTTTTTTAAATTGTAATTGAGTAATACAAAATTTGTAAGAAAAATTCGATAATAAACAAGGCATAATAACATCCGTTAATTGGGTAATAACATCCGTAGTTTTAATAACAGCCGTAATTATGAAACTGGGCAATCACATCATTCCATTCTTCCGAGGAAACAGCTGATTGATCAATTTCAATAACTATGTTGTTAAAGATATTAAAGATGTTGTTAAACTCTTAACCGATTATAAGCCTGTTCCTCGTAGAGATCCTTAAGGCAGAGTCCGGAAAATATTCGCCATGATGATGCAAACTAGTGATTTTTATAGTAAATTTTAAAATATAGCGTTTTCAGATATAGCCATGTTCAGATTCCTATCCGAATGATACCTAGATCATTTCATCCTCATCCAGCACCGAAAGTTTTCAGAAATATCTCAGAAATATTTCAATTGAAAAGTGAAACGTTTTTGAGATAGCTTTGTTGCGGGATTCTTTAAATATTTTATCGACAATTGTTGCTATCGTTAACTAACGATAACCAATAAGTATCACTCTTTCTTCCAAGATTGTCCGACATTGGACTAGCTGTCGCTAGTTAACGATAGCGACAATCATTAATAAGACATTTAGAGAATCTCTCGACTGGAATAGCAAAATGTCCGCGATTATTGCATATGAAACCTTGTTGAAAGATGTTGATGAAATGTTACAGAAAGAATCTGCAATCTTTTTGAAATATTACCAAAAAGATCAGGTATTTTTAGTGTACTACAAAATTGGACCTCTATTCTTAAAAAGAAACATAAACGAAATTCTAGGAAAATACTATAGTAACATAATATTTTTGTGAAGTCTTTTTATGTTATGTTCCCGTATTGGCCAGAAGTATTCTGATGATCCTTTTAACCAACTGGTAGGCACTAATTGCAGTCCATCCTCAAATTCGATAAAAAATCTCTTTTATCTTTTCTAATAACATGTATCGATCATTTTTAAGTATCACTTGAAAAATAACAAATTGATTTTGATCATATGCCGTATTTTCCACATTTTATTTCGAATATTCTCACATAGTCAAAGACATACAGCAATGTCTTCTTGCATAACTTGTATACCCGATTGTTCTGAAGCGTAAGGATAAACAGCATCAGTATACAAATTTTGCTTTAAGATTTTTACCAATTATGATTTTTGTATTGTCGCTATGTTTAATTAAGTTCAAAACAAATATTACAGTTCCATTTTCAAATAAAATTATTATTTGCATTATTGGAATGAATCGTATATGTTTTAATACGTAATATTCTATATTCAACAACAAAGTTATAACCTTCAATTAAAGGTCTGTTTGAGTGAACTTTTTCAAAACAAATTGCATTATTGTTTTTTATTATTGTTTTCTTAATAGGCATATTAAAGTTGTTAAGTTCAGAATATCTTCTTGACAATTGTTGAAGAGGTCTCTCATTTTTTCGAATCATTTTTTTTTTATATTTGACATATAATTTTCAAATCTGAAAGCACTAAAGTTGTCAGGGTCCGTACTTTTGTACATCAAAACAAATATGTAATAAAGTATGTAAATTTACGAGACATAAACTTAGCTCCAAATTTTTTTGAAATATTTAAAAAAATACTCTATTAACATTTAAGCCCATATAATATTATTATTATCTTTCGAAAAAAAGGAATTGTTATAGCAATATGTAATGTTATAAAATTGATATATCCTTCCTTAATATTTCTTTCAACACAATTGGATCTGTGTAAAGAAGAAACTAGTGAAATTCCGTTGCCTTCTACATCTTTTAAGATGTGAAAATGTAGAAGGCAACGATAGTGGGCGTCGAAAATCATTTGGCATACTGTTTTGCAAATTTAATAAAGTCTCTAAAATCTGATTTAATAACTGTTGAGATAATTTTACAAGTACGCGGACTAACTTTAACTCAAAATGATATCAATTTTTTTACTACTCCGAAACATATAAGATGCATGTAATCAATTACTAAGCTAGAAACTAATTCGAAATTAGGAATCTGTTTTAAAATTATCTCACTGATTTGGAAATTGTCATTTATTATTTACAAAATCTTCATCAGTTTCTTAAAAGATCGAAACAACTATTTTTGTCGAAACATATCCATCTAAGTACTTGCTTGTAAAGGTGAAATCACATGGTCCGGAATAGGACTGCGGAATACAAAATGCGTCATTGAAACAATTAATCAGTACTATTCCGCATTTAATATTGCGGATTAGCGAATGCGTCATTGTTCTTGTAATAAACTATCATATTTTGAGAGGTTAAAATAATTTGATGTTGAATGATATGATGGAATTGCATAATGTCGAGACGAATGAAGCAAAATGATAAAATTTGAGTGCATAAATATATCAAAAAAACAATGATGCATTACGTGCGATTTCAGTACCCTTTTTCCGTATTTTTCTATCACGCCACTTTTATGTGTTATGTTCACACGATGCGGAAAAATGATAGTAAAGCAGTTTAAAAAATTGTTATGAGTTGCGTTAAAGCAGTTCAAAAAATTGTTATGAGATTGTAAACAATATTAATTGTAAAACATTAAATACTATACCATTGATAATTTGTTTTTACAATTTGAAAAATTATATTTCATTTTAATAAGCAAATTGTTAACATGAAGTTAGTAGTCTTTAAATTATATTCATGGATACATTTTTGACGCATCATGTGAATATAGCACAAACTTGCGTAGAAAAGTGCGGAATAGCGTTTGATTGCTTTAATCACGCATTCTGTATTTCGCAGTCCGAACAGTGTGGTTTCATTCTAATAGTCATCGCGTACAACTATTGTAACCGGTATGATTTTTTATTAATAATATAAAAACTTAATAAAAACTTTTATTGGAGCATCACAAATAAAACCATGAAAATTAATTTTTACTTTAATATCATTATAAATAAGTCCAGTATTAATTAAAAAAATTGCTTTGTTGACAAAATATCGCAAAAATTATTTTTCCGTGTATGTTAAAATAGGAGAATAACCTATACTTTAAATCATACTCGTTTACAAATATGTGTATGTGGCTGTGATCAAAGTCTCGTTTTGAAGCATTTGATGAATCAATTAGAAGAAAAAAATTTTACAAACTGACCAATTAAAAAATGCTTCAAAGCGTTTGCAGCATTGAGCGCGTTGACCGTATTCTATATCATAAATTAGGATTTAAGGATAGTCTATAAGCACAGTATATACAGTAGCGCAACTCTGTTGCATCTTTGATGTTAGTGTTGACCAAAGTTAGAGTGCGCATGCGTAAAATAAGTAAGTTACCTAGCTTTGCCACGGTTATCACCTAAACTTCTTTCTCTTTTTTTATCTTTTTTTTACTCTGTCAAAATTCCTCGCAAAACTTTAGATTTATTTGCATCGCAATCCAACGAATTCGTTGAAGTGAGTAAGCGCTATTGTAGGAACATACTGAAGCATATTAAAGCATGTGACGCGAATAAAGCTAATATTGCAATGAAATAATTTAAACTTTATGAAAATTAATAAAAATCAATTGTAAATATATTGAAAAATAAAGAAAAAATACAGAAATATTAAGAAAAATATTAAATTAACTTAAAAATATATAAAGAAATATTATGTAATTATATATCTATGGAAATATTATGAGAAAACTGATATAAAAGAAATTTATATATTAGGTGTACAACTTTACTTCCGCCGTTTTCGATGGCTTTAGTGGTAAGGGGTGGTCGAAATAAATAGATTATAGACGTCATACAATAAACTTGGGCATCTGTCAACATAATCCCATAGAAACATTAGTCGATTTGTGTCTGCATCATAAAGTTATTCTCGATTGAAAATGTCAGTTTACGAGCCAAATTCTCGTCATTTGCGGGAGGTTTTAATTTTTTGCTTCAATATGAAGAAATCTGCGGCTGAGGCTCATCGAATACTTATGGTGCTCTCAAATACTTATGGTGAGGCCGCTATTAATGAAAGAACGTGTCGTGAGTGGTTTCAACGTTTCAAGAACGATGATTTTCACGTCGAAGATCGGCATAGCGGTGGAAGAGAGAAGGTTTTCGAAGATGCAGAATTGAAGCCATTACTTGAGCAAGACTCGTGTCAAAATCAAGAAGAATTGGCACGATCATTAGGAGTGACTCAACAAGCCATTTCAAAACGTCTCAAAGCCATGAAAATAATTCAGAAGCAAGGAAATTGGGTGCCGTACGAATTGAAGCCGAGAGATGTTGAACGGCGTTTGTTTGCTTGTGAACAGCTGCTTGAAAGGTAAAGACGGAAGGGATTTCTGCATCGCATTGTGACTGGGGACGAAAAATGGGTTCATTACGATAATCCCAAGATCAGAAAATCATGGGGAGTTCTCGGCCATGCTTCCACGTCGACGGCCAAACCGAATATTCACGGCTCCAAGGTCATGCTCTGTATTTGGTGGGACCAGCTCGGCGTAGTGTATTATGAACTGTTAAAACCGACTGAAACAATCACAGGCGATCGGTATCGAACGCAATTGATGCGTTTGAGCATTGAAAGACAAACCGTAATACAACCAAGAGACACGATAAAGTGATTTTGCAGCATGACAATGCTCGACCCCATGTTGCGAAAGTGGTCAAGACATACTTGGAAACGTTGAAATGGGAAGTCCTACCCCACTGTATTCTCCAGACGTTGCTCCCTCTGACTATCACTTGTTTCGATCAATGGCACACGGCCTGGCTGACCAGCACTTCTGATCTTATGAAGAAGTAAAAAATTGGATCGATTCGTGGATAGCCTCAAAAGATGACTAGTTTTTTCGACGCGGGATTCGTACGCTACCCGAAAGATGGGAGAAAGTAGTGGCCAGCGATGGACAATACTTTGAATCATAAATGTATAACCAATTTTTTACAATAAAGCCTCAAATTTCGGAAAAAAAAACGGCGGATGCAAAGTTGTACACCTAATACATATATGTCTAAAAAATAAGTTTAAAATACAATAAATAAAGAGAAATCTTTCTTGCTTGGTTTATATTATTTTTGTTCATTTTTATACTTATTGTTGTATTACACAACTTATTGTTGAAGTTTTTCACTTTATCATTTTTTCACAAAAATTAGAAAATCTCTCTCTCGATTTTTCCAATCTCTCGAGAGTTCTCACACAACATTTCATCAAATAGACAATACACGTAATACTTCTCTCTAAATTTCTACCCTGAATCATGTATGCTTGAAAGACAAATGTTTAATTGAAACGATTATTTAAATAGAGAGAGAGAGAGAGAGAGAGAGAGAGAGAGAGAGAGATAAAAAGGAGGAAAAAAAACGATATAACTTACTTATTTCACGCATGCGCACTCCATTTTGGCCAACATAAAATCAGGAAAGTTGCGTTACTGTGCTATAAAGATCGTAAAAAGTATTCCGAAAGAATACTTACCGTGTAACAATATTCGTTCTCGAGACTCTGCTGTCTGCCTATAGCCGTGTCTACTTCCGCCTCCTCGCGATTTGCAATTATTAAATAACGAATGTTGCCATAAAAACTTGCGCGCTTTCCTTAAAGAATAGGAGAGAAGCGACACATGATCACGTGATCACTTACTTTGTGACTGATTGGAGCTTCTATAGCGTGCTACACGTTCTATTCTTAAGGTATATCCCTTAAACCTTCTCCACGATGTTAGAATTCTAACATCGTGGTCCGAATTCTCAGATCGAGAAATGTGTAGCCAATTAACTTGCCGATTTTCCGTAAAAATTATAATTGGCACACACTTACACATTTCATAATTTATCATCGTGGACACAATAAAGTTTTAAAATATATTTTAATATTAATTTATACTGTAATATTTCAAATATTTCAAACGTATTCTAATAATCTTTCAGTAATATTTCTAACATATTTCAGAAAGGTGTTAGATTTATTTCAGTTATTCATTAGCCAGCACTCAGGAATACTTCAGACATATTTCGATAATCTTTCAGAGCACTTTCAGAAAAGTTTTAAGTGCAAGAATCGCGGACATTTTGCTATTTCAGAGCTGTCTCAGAGAGCTGTTGCAGAAACGTTTTGCAATTCTTTTGAAATATTTCGATTGTACACGTGAAACATTTCTGAAATATCTCTGAAAGGTTGTTGTGTATCGGATTATTTCTAAATTTATTGTAGATATGAAGAAGAAAGTTTTCAAACTCATTGCACGTAAAAAATTTCAAAAACCATTTAACTGAAAGGTTTACAAAACCTAGGTTTCATATGAAATATTTCTCTGATATGAATTTCAGAATAATAAAATAACTCTACTGAAACATTTGAAATTTATATTGTATGTGATTTCAGAAACAACTCAGTTTCGAGATTTGCAATTTTATTTGTATGAAATTCATATCAGAGATAATTTACTTTTAAATACGAAGTGCTACTAGTTTGAATGTTAAGATGTTGAACTATTATATGCATATATTCATTTAAATAATTTCAGAATTAATTTCAGAATTAATTTCATTGAATTAATTTCAGAAATGATAATTGCGTGTCGATATGATTGTCGGATTTTTAACGCAATCAATCTGAAATATTAATAATCCCCCCAAATTTCCCAAATTTAATCTTAAAAAATTGTAATAAATTTATTGCGAAAAATATTGCCTTGGCCGAGAGTCGAGATCTCTCGCATTCTATGCGAGCGTCCTAAGCCTTTAGACTACCGAGATCTTAGCAATATTCCTCGCAATAACCGATAAGGAATAATTTAATTAAAAATTTTGTAAAATTATGTTTATGTGAGCAATTTCAGAAACATTTCTGTAGTAACATTTCATGTGACATATTGCAAAATTCTTTCAGAATTGTTACACATGAAATGTGAAAAGTCGAAATGATTTTGAAACCTTACTGAAAGTTTTCTGCAACTATCGGTGCTGTATGAGAGGCAACTTATTTTAATCTAGAAGCCGTTCTCTAGTCTAGAAGAATTTTTATGCTATTTTTGCAAATTTTTTAAATAGATAAAGTTAGATAAGATAAAGTTTTTTGGGATAAGGTTTTTTCCTACATATTTGTACATATTTGAAAAACGTTTCAGAATTTTTTTATTAAAAAATAATTATTAATATGCGCTGCATAAAATATTAAGTAACGTGAAAAATAAAACTATTATATCTATGACTCCCATGATTCCAGTTCTTTCGCTCATTTAAAACAAAAAAACCAAAAAAATTCTTAATTAGTATGAGTTTGGTTACAGCAGGTACCAGAACGAAGAAAAAATACTGATAATTTAAAAAAATTTCATATCGTGAAAATTAAATTTCGATTTTTGCCTTTTTTTTCCACCAAAATAATTGTAAAAATTACAAAAATATATGTTTCGACTTGATCTTAGTACTGTAGTCATATATGTACTGAAGATGTGTGCACATGCCTGATTCAATTAGTCAACTGGTTTTCGAGATATCATGGGAGCCAATTTGAAAAACATGGTTTCGAGAAAAATGCGTTTAAAGTTTTTCGTAATTATATAAAGACAGTTTTACTTACAATCAATCAGCTAGAATCCTCTTTTTTTCCATGTTCTGGTGCCGGAAACTGTTAAATGTGTTGCAACTTCTTCTTCTCATCATCACTTTCTTTTTAGGAAAGTCGATATCTTTTGAACTTCGCAGTTTTTTTTGCGAAAACAAGCTGGAGACCGCTCCCTACCAGGTGCTGTAACTTTGTTAATTTTGCGAATCGAGCTAATCCCTTTTACAGACATATTTTCTATACCAAATACTTGCAAAATATGTAAAAAAAATCAATTTTTTCCGCTAGACTAGAATACCCCCTTAAGCAAACCAGTTTCAAGCAAATTGACAGCAACCTGGCAATTTGCTATTTGGGATTTTGTAAAAATAAGACTAACTTTATGAAATTAAGACAATTATTAACATCATCTTTGTAATATCTTTGTGAATAAATGTCAGTAATTGGACTTATTCTGAAAGCGATATATTTTATAACTAAATCGCTTAAATTTTAACTATTAATTTTACAGCTTCGTAAATAATGGGCAAATTATGCCATTGTATGACAAGTAATGTATTATATATCTAGATAATTATTATTTTTTCTTCTTGTATAATTAAATATGTCAATTAACACACCATGCATAAAAATTTCCTAATATTATTGCTAAAAACGTATAATGTATTTTTTAAATATATATTTTTCTTATAAAAAAATTATTTATATTAAATTTATATTACATTTATCCGCCGCATTATGTAATTATTATACAATAGCCATATAGCCTATGTAGTACATAAAACTTAAAGATTGTTTAATAAATATCTAAAATTATGAAAAAAGAATATTTAAATATCGCATAAATGTTGAAGCATTAGTTTATAAATAATATACGAAGAAAATAAAAATTCAGCGAAGAACATAAAAGTATTTATTTTTAAATCGTTATCTAGAACAAAAATAAATACTTAAAATATTTTTCGCAGGCAAAGAAGTTAAGAGCGTGCCTCTGCAAACGAAGAATCAAGAGAAGAACTTAAAATTAAATGACATCAGTTATAGATCTTGGAGACTTGGTAGTCTATACGAAAATGACAGTAATGGTATAAATTTATTTTGTACAATTTTAGGACTTTTGAAATCTTGATTGATTTCACGTGTCTCACATTATGTCTCACATGAATTTACCTTATTTTTTAATTACCAACTATTTTGCTAGTTTGCAAAAATTATTATATATCAATAGTTAATTTTTTTTACATCAATAGTTAAATAAACAGCAAGAGTAAATTGCAAATCAGCAAATAATATTGATTCGTCATCTTACATTACACTGGAATGTTATGATAAAAATATTATAAATTAATATATTATCAACACACACACATTATCACAAATATATTATCTATTATTTCATAAGTTTAATTCAATTTTCATTTTTAGTCTATTTTCAGAAAAATGCCAACATTCTTTATAAACAATGTTTTCTTCGCCTTATAATGAATATTATAAATTAATTTAATTTAATTGTAAGATTAATTGTAAGAAGAAATTAGAATTAAGAAAGAAAATTAGAATTAAGACCGTTTATGTGAGAATATCTAAATACGAGAGAAGTGATCACTTTCGATCTTAAAATTAGATGTTAAACTATGTATTCTTTGAATGAATTTATCTCATTGTCAGAAATATGACTGCATGTCTTTACCTTCGGACTTTCAACACAATTAATCTGAAATATTAATAATCTCCGCAAGTTTTAATAAAAAACTTAAACTGTCTTAAAAGCTATAAAGAATTTATTGTGAAAAGTATTATCTCGGCCGGGAATTTTACATCACCTTACACGATCAGTATTATTGATATGTTTTAATTTTACATATAATATTTATTGCACTATAACATACTGTGGCACATCCTAATAAAGCGATATTGCTCAAGAATCAGATCCCAGGTAACATTTATGTTGTATAAGATATCTGAAAGATGTCTTTTAGATATCTTATATAACATGCACGTTATTTGGGATCCAGATCATCAATTAATATCCTGCGTTAATTCAACAATATTAACTTACGTACGATTGATAACATCAGTATTTATTAACAGTACTATTGACTGTATAGAGTTACCTTAATGTGCCTCGAGTGGTTTCATGGAGAGAACGCTTGCACGGAATACTGTTCATCGCGGATTTCGATTCTTGATCGAGATAATATTTTTTATTCTTTAGGTTTTAAGATGTTTCTTATTAAAACTTCGGAGGATAGTATGACTCATTTAGTGATGACTCTTATACTTACTCAAAATTTTATTCCTTTAAAGAGATTTTCGTCAGTGGTAAATATTATAAGTTTAGTTCCTTCAATTCAATTTCGAAAACTAGACTCATTCGACGTGTTTTTGCACAAAATGAACAAATTTGGCAAAAAGAAGTATTGTTTTGCCCTGCGAAGCGAATTTTTGTGTTTAAAATATATTTTTATAAAAGTTTTATTAATATGTAGCAAAAGATATAACTTCAAATACATTAATCTTTCTTTTAATATATCGACTAATAATCTTAGTCGAATTACTCCAGCCCCGGGGCTAGTTGAATCAGATGGAATGCATTAGAAAAATGCAATTTTTCATTTATCAGTTTCCCCTTATTATTAAAATATTATTAGATAGTCAAATGTATGTTGTAACAGGTAGAATTCATTTTTTTGATCTCTCTTAGGCCCGATTGCAAACTTAAAATTCTTTCTATCTCGTTTTAAAACTGAAAAAAGATAGGGACAAAGAGAGTTTTACGTCTCATTTAAAATTGAAGTAATGTTGGTGCAACCGGGCTTAATTTCGTTTGTAAAAATTCGAAAAATGAGTCTATTAGTTTCGATCTCCCCTATATACACAAGTCATTTAATTCTAGTTTAACGATTTCTATAAAATGGTAAATTATTTGAATCGCAAGTTAAGTTTCAGACTCTGTAAAAATTGTAAAATTGAACCCGAAGAATCAGATTTCGTATGAATCACATTTTAATTCTATATTTAATATCATGTTATTAAATCTTTAATTGAAAAAAGATGAAATAAAAATACATATGTACGTTAT